CCTTTACGAGATCCAAGATGGGATCCCAGTGTAGCAGAACAGATAGAGAGGTTGAGACCCTATCAGAACTGGGTGGTGTATGGTATAAGACATGTTATTCTGAAAACAATAAATCGGTCAAAATTATACAAGGTAAAGCAAGACATAGATGAATCTCTGACACACTTCTTGAATAGGCCAGAAGAGAATTTTTCTTCCATTTTAGGCATCAAGACACAAGGAATGATATGAAGTTGTGTCAAGGGAAGTCCAGAGTGGTCATTAGGGAAAGGTTTTTCACTGAGAGATTGGTCAATTGCTTGAACAGGCTCCCCAGGGAAATGGCTACAGCATCAAGCCTGTCAGAGTTCGAGGGCTATCTGGATGACAATTCTAGTGATATGATTTATTTTTAAATAGTCCTGCAAGGAGCAGAGTGTTGAACTTAGTAATTCTTACGTGTCCCTTCTGACTCAAGATATTCCATGATAAAGTTGGGGACTCAAATTCCTCTATGCAAACTGTCACAGTATGGGGAATAAACAAGAGTAATTAGGAAAGTGTGTAAACCTAAAGGGCTATAATCTTATTGGCCTCACGGAGATTAGGTGAGATGGCTCCCATGACTAAAGTGTTGGAATGGAAGGATATAGGGTCTTTAGGAAGGACAGGCAGGGGAGATGAGGAGGGGTTGTCACCCTCTATGTCAGTGACCAGTCAGAGTGCATGGAGCTCTGCCTGGAGATGAATGAGGAGCTGACTGAGAGTTTATGGGTCAAAATTAAAGGGACAGCAGGGACAGGTGACATTATAGTGGGGGTCTGCTCCAGGTCACCTGACCAGGAAGTCTGAGTGACTGAGGCCCTCTATAGATACGTAGGAGTAGCCTTACATTCACAAACCCTGGTCCTCATGGAAAAATTTCTCTACCTCAGTATCTGTTGTATGGATAAGACAGCAAGGCACAGGCAATCCAGGAAGTTCCTGGAATGCATTGATGATAAATTCCTTCTACAAGTGGTAGAGAAGACAACAAGGAGAGGTGCTGTGCTGGGCTTTGCTCTCACCAGCAAGGAGATGCTGGTGGGGAGCATGAAGATCAAGGCTGACTTGGCTGCAGTGATCACAAAAACATTTCAGATCCTTCGGAGAGGGAGGAGGACACAGACCAAGATCGCTACTTTGGACTTCAGGAGAGCAGACTTTAGTCTCTTCAGAGATGCCTGGTAGAGTGCCATAAAGCCCTGGAGGCAATAGGGGCCCAAGAAAACTGGTTGGTATTCAAGGATTACTTCCTCCAAACTTAGGAGCAATGCATCCCAACAAAAAGGAAGTCAGGCAAGAATGCCGGGGCCTGTATGGATGAATAAGGAGCTCCTGGACAAACTCAAACACCAAAAGGAAGCCTACAGAGGGTGGAAAAAAGGACAGGTAGACTGGGAGGAACACAGAGAAATTGTCTGAGCAGCCAGGGATCAAGTTAGGAAGCTAAAGCCCAGATTTGGTCAACAGCAACAACAAAAGCTTCTATAGGTAATGTCGGTGATAAAATTAAGTCTAGAGAACATGTGGGCTCTCTCCAGAAGGAAATGGGAGACGTGGTTACCAAGGACATGGAGAAGGCTGAGGTACTCAGTGACTTCTTTACCTCAATCTTCACTGGCAAGTGCTCCAGCCACATCACCTGAATTGCAGTAGGTAAAGGCAGGGACTGGGAGAATGAAGAACCACCCACTGTAGGAGATCAGGTTCAAGACCATCTAAAGAACCTGAAGGTACAGAAGTTCATGCAACCTAATGAGATGCATCCACAGTCCTGAGAGAAATGGGGGAGGATTTGTCTAAGTCACTATCCATCATATTTGAGAAGTTGTGGCAGTCTGGTGAAGTTCCCACTGACTGGAAAAGGAGAAATGTAACCCGCATTTTTAAAAAGGGGAAAAAAGAAATTCTGGGGAACTACAGTCAGTCAGTCTCACCTTAGTGCCTTTTAAGATCATGGAGCAGATCCTCTTGTAAACTATGGTAAAGTACATGAAAAATAAGGATGTGATTGGCAACAGCCAGTATGGCTTCACACTGGGGCTGGAGTGTTGGTGGATGAGGGAAAAGTGACTGATATTGTCTTCCTGCACTTGTGCAAAGCATTTGACACAGTCTCACATGACATCCTTGTCTCTAGACTGGAGAGATGTGGATGTGACAGATGGACCACTTGGTGAACAAGCAGTTGGTTGGAGGGTTGCACTCAAAGAGCTCAATGTCCAAGTGGACGTACATGATAAGTAATGTTCCTCAGGGGTTGGTGTTGGGAATGGTGCTGCTTAACATCTTTGTCAGTGACATGGACAGTGGGACTGACTGCACCCTCAGCAAGTTTTCTCATGACACCCAGCTGTGTGATGTGGCTGAAATGCTGGACGGAAGGGATGCCATCCAGAGGATCCTTGAGAGGCTTGAGAGATGGGCCTGTGTGAACCTCATGAAGTTCAACAAGGACTTGCTCTACAAGTGCAAGATCCTCCATGTGGGTTGGGGCAATGTCAAGCACAAAATCAGGTTGGATGGAGAATGGATTGAGAGCAGAGCTGAAGAGAAAGACTTGAGCGTATTGGTTGACAAGAAGCTCAACATGACTTGACAATGTCTACTTGCAGCTCAGAAAGCCTGTGTCCTGGGCTGCATCAAAAGGTATGGTCTTTTGAGGTGATTCTCCTCCTCTACTATGCTCTTGTGAGGACTGATGAGTCCAGCTCTGGGGTCTCCAACATAAGAAGGACTGGGACCTTTCAGAGCAAGTCCAGAGGAAGACCATAAAGATGATTAGAAGTCTGGAGCCTCTCTCCTATGAGGATACACTGAGACAGCTGGGGTTCTTCAGTCCAGAGAAGAGAAGGCTCAAGGGAGACCCTAGAGCTTCTTCCAGAACTTAAAGGGGCTCTACAAGAGAGCTGAAGTGGGGCTTTGTACAAGGCCATGTAGTGATAGGACAAGGAGGAATGGCTTTAAACCGATAGAGGGTAACTTTAAATTAGATATAATTGATAAATTCTTTAATGTGAGGGTGGTGACACACTCAGATTGCCTAGAGAAGCTGTGGATGCCCCATCCTTGTATTCAAGGCCAGGTTGGATAGGGGTTTGAACAATCTGGTGAACTGGAAAGTGTCCCTGCCCATGGCAAGACGTTTGAATGGAATTATCTTTAAGGTCTCTTCCAACCCAAACCATGGTATTATTCTATGATTCTACCCCATGAAGATAGCTGTATTACAGATCATGTTCTATTTAGAGACACAAATTGTTTAGGTTTACAGACAGCCATGAGAAACCACAGAATCATAGAATTGTTAAGGTTGGAAAGGCCTTTAAGAACACCAATTCCAACTGTCAGCTCAGCACCACCACTATGTTTACCCTTCAAGTGTATCCTCAAGTGCCATATCCACATGTTTTTTTCATGATATCTAATGTAAACCTACTCTGGCATAGCTTCAGGCCATTTCCTCTAATCCTGTCACTTGCTACCTGGGAGAAGAGATTGACTCCCACCTCACTAAAACATCCTTTCAGGTAGTTATAGAGAGCCATAAGGTCTCCTGTCAGCCTCCTTTTCTCCAGCCTAAATAATCCCAGCTCCCTCAGCCATTCCTCATAGGACTTGTGCTCCAGATCCTTCACCAGGTTTGTTGCCCTTCTCTGGACACTCTACAGCACCTCAATGTCTTTCTTGTAGTGAGGGGCCCAGAACTGAACACAGAATTCAAAGTGCAGCCTCCTGAGTGCAGCTGGAAAATGACCTAGTCCTTCTGGTCATACTATTTCTGATATAAGCCAGGATGCCACCAGCCTTCTTGGCCACCTGGGCACACTGCTGGCTCATGCTCAGCCAGCTGCCATTCAGCACCCCCAAGTTCTTTTTCACCACCAGTGATCAGCTGCCAGCTGGATGTAACTCCATTCACCACCTTTCTCTGGGCCAGGCCATCCAGCCAGTTTTTACCTGGTGAAGAGTACATCTGTCCACATCATGATAAGACAGTTTCTCTAGGAGAATGCTATGGGAAATAATGTCAAAGGCTTTACTAATATCTAGACAATAATATCATCTGCTAAGCAGGTCATTTTGTCACAGAAGGAGATCAGATTGGTCAGGTAAGACCTGCCCTTCATAAATCCATGCTGGCTGGACCTTATCCCCGGTTGTCCTGTACTTGTTGCATGATGGCATTAGAGATGATCTTCATGACCTTCCCTGGCACTGGTGTCAGGCTGACAGGCCTGTAGTTCCCCAGATCCTTCTTCCAATATCAAAATAAAACCATAAAACACTCACACTTCTAAATAGGCCCTGCTCTTTCTCCTGCTTCTGTTGTTAATTAGTAACACCACTATGATAAATTTGGAGGAAAAACACCCTTACTATCTGTAATATTATTATATGAACATTAGTTTTCTTGTTTGTGTCTGTGATCTTGCCTGCCTGCCTACAACTAAATCAAAAAGGAACTATTTAAAGAAAGGACCAGACAGGAAAGTTAGGAAAGGAACCACCAGAGGCAGCTGAGATCATAGAATGGTTTGGATTGGAAGGGATCTGGAAGATAATCTACTTCTTCGTGTCTGTGGTCTAATTGATTTTGTCCATCTGCCTTGTGCCTCTCCCTCTACCTATCTGCTATCCTAATCCCTCTTCTTGCTCCCATGCAGCAGCTCCATGCACAAGGACTCCCTTTATCTTATAACTCCTTCCCACCCACAGCCTACAAACCCTTCTGAACTTGTTTCTCAGACACCTTCCCATTTTAGTCCACACACATTCTTCAAAGTTTCTTCAGATTTACGAGGTTTTTGGCAGTGCAAAAATGGGAGAGTTCCTGTACCAGACACAAACCTCTGACAGAAGTCTCAACAGAATTTCTTATCCCCATTGATTAGGACTGTTCCCCACTCGGACAGAAGTGGTAGACTCAGAAGATGGAAGCCTAACACGAAAAGAGAAGAAACCTTGTATTTTCCCAACTCCTAAGATCAAAGCATGAGTTTTACTAAATGCATTTTCAGAGACAAATATGCCAGCAAGCATTTCTCTTGTTTTTCATAAATACCTCAAATACAGAAACTAAAATTTTCTATGAAAATCACATTTACTCCAACAATATCTGAACAGCAGCAGTTTCAGGCATGGTCTCTCCTGCAGTCTGTGTAGTCGAGTATGTTGATAAAGTGTCTAACCCACACTTGACCCAACCACAGGAGATGCTAGAGGCCTCTAGTGAACTGAAAGCTGGAAGTGGCAATTTTGTTCTAAACCAGTGACTTCCAGGGTGTAGTGCATTATCTCTTGCTCTGGAGTAATAAATCCCAAGTCAGGTGCATGCGCATCATAACAAATTTTATGGGGAGGGGTAGAGTTAAACAGTTTCTTGGAGAAGCTTGTTGTAAGCCAGTGAATTGTTTGTAGCTATGGCATTTTTCAGGCACTGCCAGAAGAAGGGCTGAGACTGAGGGTTAGTTGGCCATTCCAGGACAGAATTTCGACACAGCCTCTTCCTCAGACGGACATAGCGCGACTTCTGCAAAACCTTCTCAAGAAATATCAAGATAATGACATCCAGTTTTTCATCTAGAAGCCGCTGGTGGGCCATATAAAAGGTTGTTCTGAAACTGCCACTTTTAATATACTTATTGGTCAGCACAAACACAGTCTTTTTGCTCAGCTGAATGCTCTGGGAAAGGTTGTCAAAGACCGGATGTCCCGGGAGCCAGTCCCTTGCTTCCAGGCATAAATTAAACTGCCTGGCTTTTCGGTCTTCGAGCCTTCTAACCAGTTCTTCCATCACCCAGTCATTCACAGCTGGATCTTCGTTGTCATAGGCAATAAAAGCATCGTAACAGGCATCTGGTAAAGATAAACGCCGATAGCCCTTCAGCTTGGCGGTGCAGTAATGGTAACTATACCACACATCCCAGAAGTACAGATGGCTCGTCACTGCAAGCACCATAAAGCTGAGGACGGTTGAAGCTGATAGAGCGTACAGGATCAAATATGAGGTGTCCAGCTCACAGGTATACAGATCCAAGAAAACCACGCTCCTGCCCTTATGTGCCCCTGGGCCAGCACAGATCACGTCTGAGGCCAGAAGAGGAATAGTCACCTGAGTCTGATTGATCCACCAGACAAACCACACGGCCTCGCAGTTGCACCTGAAAGGGTTGCCATGCAAAAGCAGCATCTTCAGGTTGTTGATGACATTTTCAGGGAAGCTAGATTTCTTAATTACTTCAATCTTGTTTGAGCTGAGGTCCAAATATCTCAGTTTAAAAGCACCTCTGAGAAAATGTTTGGTTAGCTGATGAATATGATTGTTTCGAAGCATCAGTTCTTGCAGTGATGAGGAGCAATTGGACAGTTCTCGGGGAACAGTGGTCAGAAGGTTATTGCTCAGGTCCAGAGTTACTAGTTTCTTCAGATAGTGGAGGTTTTCCCAGTTGAAACTCTTCAATCGATTATTGGTTAAGTTGAGGAGCTTGAGTTTGGGAGGCATTGCTTCAAAAACAGTGGGAGGCAAAAAACTGAGTGAGTTGAAGGAAATATCCAGTTCTTCCAGGCTGGTCAGATTCTTGAAGAAGGATAAGTATCTAGCATTGCCATCCATCCATAAAACATCTAAACGATTTCCTCTAAATTCTAAAATTTGAAGAGACTGACTTTCCATTCCTGTGTTAATGGTGGTAGAAATGTCATTATCATTCATCATCAGTTTCCTCAAATGGTCTAGGTTTTTCACAAAATTAAGCACATGAGTAACACCTTCTGCCAGAAAATAATGTTGATTATTGCTCAGGTCAAGAATTTCTAAGTGTTCTAGCTCTTTGAAAGCAGTTTGGTATAGCAAATCAACCCTGTTGTTAGAAAAATCCAGATATTTCAATCCAGACAAGGAGGAGAATTCACTTCCATTTAAAGTTTGACTTATTGCATTATCTGACAAGTTGAGACAGGTAAGGGAGCTAAGTCCCTGGAAGTCTGAGGGGTTAATAAAAAATACATTATTTCTGCTCAAATCCAGAGTTTTTCCAAATTGCAGGCAATCTTCCTTAACTGAAGATTGGTAGGAAGCAGCCTCTTTATCTTTGGAACGGCAACTTCGCCCATACACATCATACCTAAAATAATGCATCTCTTGTAGTATTTGCCTGTTGTACTGCTCTACTGAAAACCCAAGATTAGAGCAGAATCCATTGGAGTTGCTTTCCCCTGAAGAAGGAGAAATTTTATTCACTGAGAGGTCTATGAACTTAAGAGCTGGGAATTCTTCGAACACTGTCAGGTTTGCAACTTTAATAAAATTAGTCCCAAGATCCAAGACGGTGAGATTCCTAAGACTGAGCAGTGGGCGTAGATCCTCCTCTCTCAGTTCTTTAAAGACATAACCCTTGAGCCTCAAGGTTTCCAGGTTAGAGAGGGAAGAAAATGTCTCAGACAGTTTCAAGAAGGGAGAATACAACTTGAGTTCAAAATTAAAGGACAGATCAAGCTCCACCAGGCTGGGGACCAACTTCAAAAACTGAGCATCTCCAATCTCCTTCATGAGGAAATTTTGGGAGAGGTCAAGTTCTTTGAGGTTCTTGATGTTTTTAAACCAACTGCTGGGTATGCTCTGAAGAGAGTTACTGTGAAGTCGCAAAATTCTTAAATTTTTCAAGGAATCAAAAGCCTTTGAATGTATCTGAATCGAGCCCCTGGTGCACGGAATGCAGGGATATGGGGCATTATAGCAACGTGGGCAGTTGCCACTTAGATCGAGAATTTCGAGGTTGGGAAGGGCACTTAAATCCTGCTCTTGAATCACTTGAATCCTGTTATTGTAAATATACAGTTCCTTCAAAGTAGATGACAAATTGGGTGGAATATGTGTTAAGTTGTTGGACTTCAGGGATAGTACTGTTAATTTTTTCAGCTCCAGAAAGGCTGTTTCCTCAATCTCAAATGAAACATTGCATGGATTGCGGTAGTAGCAGTTCTGTCCCAGATACAATACCTCTATGTTTCCTAGCTCTGACAAGTTGGCTTTTTGGATAGAAAAGATAGTATTTGCTTCCAGGCTCAGCAGGGTTAAAGTAGCAGGAAGACCTCGGGGTATTTCCAACAGCTGGTTTGCATCCAAGTACAGTGACTTCAGTCTTGTCAGGGCAGCAAAACTGCCATTCTCAATCTCCAGTCTTCTGTTGCAGACAAGATCTTTGGGCCCCAGTCTGACAGGCACACAGTTGCATCTGAAGTCAATCTCCATGAGGTTTTTAAGTTGAGCAAAGGATGTTGGATAGATATGGGGAATATGGTTAATACTCAGGGTGAGGTTGGTAACGTTTTCAGGGATCCCCCTGGGGACTTGTGTGAGACGCCGGTAGGTGCAGTCCACTGTCACAGTACCTTCTGAAGATTTAACATCACAGGGTAAAGTTTTGGGAAACCAAGCTCCAGACAGCAGCGTTGGAAACAGGAAGAGCAAGACAAATAGCAAAGCATTTGACATCTTTGCATGAGGTACCTAAAAATAAGGAAACACAGGTATTAGTTTAAGGTAATTAAACATTTCACCCACACACTGGGGCAGACCAAATAGGTCTACACTTGTAGATGTGCAGGTAGGATTATAAGTTTTGTTGGTATTTTATTGGTATTCCTTACTTTATTATCAGGATGTATTGCTGCGTTAATATAAATATCACTCTCTAAATAAGGAATTGGTAAAAAAATCTACTGAAAAAGTGGCAACACAGGTGATTGAAATTTACATCTCTGTGAATGTTCTTTTCTTTTCAGGGGAAACAGGAGGTGTTAAACTTCCAGCAGATTGCCATTGCATACTGGAGTAGATGAGCAAAGTTACTGTTTCATAGTGTATGATAGATAAAATCTACAGTCCCTTAAAAACTAGTGTAAACTTTCAAACTTACTGAAGCATCAGCACAGGTGGAGAGTTGACCTAAGCCAGTCTATGGCTTTATTTCCATAAGGTTTAATACCGCCTTGCATTTTCACTCTTCAATAAGGACAGGGGGCTGAGAAAATGCTGTAGCAATGTGAAGTGTGAAAATGAAAATCAAAGACAGGTTAAAATTGAGCATGTTCCATGTAAGACTCATAAGCATTAAATATCCAGAGCCAAAATCCCACAGGCATTTAAAGAAACTTTCAAAACATTCTCTGTGTCTGTCAAGTCTTTGTGCTCTTGCCTACTTTATAGATTTATGTGTATTATGGGAAGGACAATAAGCTTTTAATATGTCACAGCTTACCCCTTACTTCCTCAGCAGTGGTCGGTGTCAAAGAAACCCTGGCTGGCAAGCTGCCAGCCTTGGCTTGTGTGACACAGGCAGAGAGGCTGTGACCATTTTGCTGCACTGCCCAACATCTTAACTGCTGGCGTCGGGTGCTGGCCATTTCTCCCTTGAAAACTCAGTGTTGAAGGCTTGGAGATGCACAACACATAGAGGGCTCTTAAATAAGCAGGATTTGTCTGGATAATATTGATTAAATGTTAAAACCCAGGTGAGCAGCAGAAAATTGGATGATTAGGTAAAATGTCCAAGATACAAGGAAATGGTTTTTTCTCTTTAGCTGGGGCACAAGAATATACAGAGACCTGCTCAAGCAGTCTGTGCAAACCTTGTTGAGTGCTACAAAGACATGCCTTGCAGGTGACACAGACTTGAAGTGAAGCGAGCCTTCCTGTTGTATGCTCTGTTTACCGTGTCTCCTAGACAACCTTGTGCTTTTGCGTTACCTTATAGAACTATGCTAAACCTACCTCTGCATCCATGTACCTGGAAGAGTGAACTGCAGGGCAGCAGGTGTGTGAGAAGGCAGATCAAGTCTCACACAGCACTGCACTTCTGCTATCTAGAGTCCACAGCCTAATGGCATCACTTTGGGGATTCAGAGCCTCAATACAGTCCACTGCAGATGTAACCTAGTACAGTACTACACCCCAGCATTTCCTATTCCCTGGCAATGCTACAGTGCCACTTTCTTTTCAGCAGATCCTCTTAGAAAAGGCAAAGGAGCTAAATAATATGGCTGATAGGAATCAAACTAACCACCATTTGGTTATTCATCGTGGAATTCACACTGGACTCTCACCCAGAGGGACACCACTGCGTAAGAGAGTTTACCAGCATTTTCAGCTCAGTCTAACCAATCCCCTTGAGAGGAGGATTAACTTTTCTGATTTCCTGATGTAGAAAAGTCTTTGGATGAAAATGATGCATAAGAATAATCACAGTATGTGGGGAGCAAATTTGGAAAAGATAATAAGCATTCATTTCCTCCCAGCTCCCTAGATCTTTTTTTTAAATTCTCTTTTCTCCACTAATGCAGTCAGGGATGTGAAAGGGAGAAGGGAGGGCTCTACCATTGCTATTCATTACATGGAAACCTGAAGGTCTTTATTCAAATGACAAGAGGTATTGCCAAAGAAAAATCTTTATATAATCTTGCAAATATTTTGCCTTCCTTCCTTCCATCCTTTTTTCCAGGAAATACACCATATTATGCATGTAAAAGACATTATGAGACTAAAGAAAAGCCAAAGAGTGCCTATCCTAACCAAATGGCCTATGATGTCCCAGCACCTGCCTCCCTCCATCTCTTGCTTTAGCAGACCAATGGACCCCAGGGCCAGGACCATTATCCAAGGCAGGTTCCCATGGAGCATGGTAGAGAGGTGGTAGGGAACTGCAGAGACTCTGCACTGCAGGACATATTGCTCCATTGTATTGGTGCCAATTACCTTTATCTGTTGATGCACAACACAGCAGAGCATGAAGTGCCAGTCATCACCAGCCATGGACAAAGAACCTGCAGTCACTGAGGGAAATACTGACAGTTGCTGCACATCAGACACCAGGAGCCATTCTAACTTTAAAGGAAGGAAGGAAAAGTAAATTAGATTTAACCTTTAAAGATCTGATAAACCACATTAAGCCATTCTATCCAAGCACGAGAGCAGGACGGGCAAGGTGTGATTGCAGTCCAGATTGACAACACAAACTTCCTACATGAACTCATAAGCAGCCACTGCACTCAGGCCCTTAATTTCAGGTGCTTACCCTAGGTCCTCAATTCATTGTCACCAACCTGGGCTGCACCAACGTTCAAGAGAGAGTGGGAGAGGAGGGAGGGAGAGAGAGAGAGACAGAGAGAGAGAGAGAGGGACAGGGAGCCCCTCTGTAGGTGCTGCTGGGCTATGGAGATGGAAGAAGCTCTGACTGACTACACACCAGAGACTCACACTGCTGATTTAGGTGCCTGAAATCAGGTGCAATGAATATGGGCCTTAAAAGTCTTCATAAATATGCTTCTAGGTTTCTTAAGAAGTCAAAGAAGACCTTTGGAGCAGTTACAATGCTCAGATTTTGAACTCTCACGTATTACAGTATTATTAGGAACCTAAGTGTTGTTGCAGAGCCAGCCTAGCTCCTACCATCTTTGTGCTTCATTGCTTTGCATATTCTTCTCTTTCCTAATATCTTTGTAATGTATTATGTATTTTAACTGTAAGCTGTTGCATTCTGGTGTTGTATCTGACCATTTGCATGTGTAACATTTAGGAGCTGTTTAAGTACCAGAACAAATAAAAAGACTTTTAAATAGGAGAAACAAGCAACACCTTTGCAACGAGAAGCTTGTTTAAAAGTACAGCTGGAGTCTGCATGTGAACTGTTCTTTTCTCTGTGATCTACATTTGGCTTCATAAGAAGTTCAAAAAGCAGTAATCTACTGATCCTAATGGGCATGTGCAAAAACCCTTAATGATTTCGTGTTCTTCAAATGTTCAGCAACAGTATGACTAGGTGTTTCTGAAGAAAGATTTTCTGTAGAGATTTCACATGTATTTTAAAAGGTAACAGGAGGAAAGTGTAGAGAAAAATGAACACCTCAGAAGTTACAGCAATCAGAAAAGACGTTATTATGCATGTTCTGTAGCACTGCAGTACAAATAAGTATTAGAGGAAATAAATGCTTTCCCTTCCTTTCATAATGCACTGCATCTTCTAATTATAATAGTAAAACTGAACAGTTAGAAAGCAGAAAATGTTCTTAAAGTCTTCCACAACAGTTCAGTAAAAGAGGTGTAAAAGCAAATTTAAAATGAAAGTTTAACATACCATTTTCTGTATGCTTCCAGATCTGGCAGATTTTTTGTTTGAAGAGCCTGTAAATCAGAGCAGAAGAAAACGGCATATAAGTGGTCCCTACTGGTTCAGATGAGGTCCGGAGGAGAGTATAATATGACATAACATACTCAAGACAACAGCAGTAATCACTGCTCTATTATTACTCTTCACCTCAACTGCAACTTGAGAAATAATTGAATGTGAAACAACTGTTGCAACCCACTTCCTCAAATATTTGTACTTAAAAGAACAGTACCTCATTTTCTGCTCCACCCCTAAGAAATAATGGAGTACTCTTATTTTCCCCCTTTTAAACAAATTTTCACATTACTCATAAATTCAAGTGCTTTTATTCTGCAATTTATATGCTGCAATTCACTGTTATCTTCGTTATTTTTGAAGTTTTCATTTCAAACTGTGCTTTACCTTGCTACAGTGTCACACCATAAAGAACTATAAGACCTACTCAGAGGAGATAAATATCCAAGCCACAGGAAACTCTGAAGGGGGACAGTTGCGAAGTATTTGGCCACAAAGTTTAAAATCAATCAGCTGGGAGACAAACGCACTACATAAGGATAACCAGTCACTTCAGACAATTAACATTTGCAGGAGATCAAGTTCCTCCTTTTACCTATCCCTCTTTTTTAGTATAAGTTGCATGAATAGAGATACAGACATAGTCAATTGATGTTAAAAATAGTTTAGATTTAGAAGCTTAGTAATTTTTATAATTATTATTATTTTTTTGGCATTCATTCCTGATGCAAATAGCTTCAAGAACTGAGACAGTTCTAAGCTGAATACTTTACGGAAGAAATGTCTATTAAGTGAATGGGACTTTGGGGAAGGGAACCAAAATAAAGCATGATAAAAAATACAGTGGTAAGGGCATAGGAAACAGCATACAGAAAGGTGAAAATTGCATGGGAGAGTGTAGAAGGGTCAGAATTAAAAATTACAAAGATAGACTTAAGCTGGTGACAATCCAGCATTACACAGAACACGGTGTCTGTCTGAGAGTTTCTTACCTAGAAGTCTCTGTGCTTAGCAGAATAGACTAGTTCAATGATTAGGATATTTATTAGGTGGAGTTTGTGGGGTTTTTCATGTCTTCTTTCCCTACATATTTTTATTTACATTTTAAATAGCAATTCATAATTTCTTTGACCATGATGGAGCTGAGAAACTCATTTCAGACGCCTGGAACCTGAAGAATGAACAGGGAAAGAATTTGCAGTCATATTTGCATATTCCCTGTGTTTAGAGTCTGAGTCATTTAGACACGAACACAAAAACAAGAAAGTCATTGCCATTTTATTCAGGGTCTAGGAAAAGGCTCATTAATTCCCAGCTATATTAATTAGGGACTATATTTCTCACCCTTGTGGCTGAATACTAAAATACTACAACAAAGTATGATTCCTCTGCTCTTTATTGATAACTGGGTTTTGCTTTTCACGCAAGATGCACTGAGGTTTTCACTGAGTGCTACTGTAACTGATGCAGAAATCTTACTAAAATCCTACTATGTGCTGCAAGGACATTCAACACATTTCCAGTAGGATGAAAACCTGCACTACAAACACCACACACTAGTTATTCCGCTCTGGATTTTTCACACTCTATGTGACCACAAAGGAAAGTTACCTTCCACTCGTTTATAATTATTCACCAAATATGCCTAATTAATCATGAAAGAAGAGAATGAGTTGGCACAAGTTTGACTGTGTATGTTGATTTCTTCAAGCACCCAGCCATTCCCTGGTACATGACACTGGAGCATGTGATGCTTAATGTCCACTTGCTTTGATTGCAAGAAGGTTTTCTAAATCACAGTGTCCAGTCACACAACCCTGTAATCTTTGACAGGTGCTCAGTATCCTTGGAGATCTCCCTTGCAGCCTAAACCTACAAACTGTGGAAATTTTAATAGCTGTACTGACACTTAGCATTTCCTTTTGGAATAAGGTTGACTTTTTTTTTATATTAGGAATTTGCTGTCAACCATCTAAGAGCTCGAGTTTCAATTCTGTTCAAAGTGAAACTGCAGCTTCAGCTGAACACCAATAGAAATGCAGAGTACTTTTTTTCCGTCTTTTTTTCTTTTCGTTTTTCTTTTTTTTGTACCTAAGAAATGGGGGTAAAAATTTACAATATTTTCCTTCAAAAGGTGGGAGTAAATGTACAGCAGCCTAGAAGTCCAGAATTTCTGAACTATAATTTGGTTTTAAAGGCACAAGGAGTCACTGATTTACTGATTTCAAAAGTTCGGTTTCCATCAGATGCTGCACAAAATGTCTTTCGTCTCTGTTGTGAAACACAAGGAAACTGAAAAGCAGTTACTGCATCACGTTAGGGGAAGATTCACTGTAAATGTATATTGCTGCCTCTGTGAAAGAAGAATATAATTTAAAATAAAGCAGGAGTCCTTAATTGTCTAAATCCTTCGTGTAGAGGTTTGGTTGTCAGTTGGCTTGCAATCAGATCAGTAAACTCACATTTCCTTTCTTTTTATTCCTAATGTCTTGCAGCAAAATCTTTTCTCTATAGTGCCAACTCTCATATCAAGAATGATGATACCACCCCACATATTCATGGTTGATACAACATTCAGTGTAAGATTGCATAATTTACCCAGGAAATTATTCAAGAAAACCAGTTGTTGTGCACTTTTGAAATAAATAAGCTGACTCTTCAAAGTGATGTAGACAGATGTATGAAAAGAACCACAAAGAGACATGGATAGGAAAATTGAGGAAATTAAAACAAAATGACTTGCAGAAGCCTTAAAGCTTCTGTATGTATGATCTGTGCATGTAATGCAAGATCCTTGCTGATAGTAGTTGCAGAAATGTGTACTAAACACTAAAAGTAACCAAAACAATAAGGAGAAGACAGCAGTAGAGGAGATTGGCCAAAAACAAGGGCAGAGGAGCACTCAGAGCTCTGGTGAGGGAGGAGACCCAAACCACCCAGGGTGCTGAGGGAGCCTCCTGTACCACAGAAATAGACTTGGCCATTTCTGAAAGCTGAGGCTGCCCCAGGCTACATCCGTGCCAAGACTGACTGACTGCTGTTTACAACAGGTTAAACTTGTGTTCTGGAAGCAAAGGTGCCTGCCACTTTTACTGAAAGTGAGTTACCTTCGAGAGAGGCAGAAGGCATCCAGAACTACCTGAAATAAGATGGAGCTGTTTTCCAAGCTCTCCAGGGTCAGCAATGCAGCTACACCTCTCCTGTTTGTTTCTTCCTAAGAGACTGATAAGATAGAGTAGCCAGAGAGGGCATCCCTGCTTTTCTCTGGGGGATGAGGAGGAGGAGTGCCAAGGCAGTAATGTTGGAAGCAGTGGGGCACGCTAATGTAGGAACTGCTGGCAAATAATAAAACTGGCCGGTTCAGAGGAATTTTGGCACTTGTGAGAGAGATATCCTCAACTCCTACTTTCTATTGATGACATTACTAGCCTTTTTTAATGTTTAATATAGGCAATCTTGCCATGGTTTATGAAGTCATTCTCAGGTAAAAGCACTGAGGGAGTACTGAAACAACCTCTGCAGAACAACATGGAACTCAGACACTGCTGGACCCAAACAAATCACATATCAGGAAAACAGCTTCAAAGGAAATAAAGGCCTAAGATTAGGGTAAGTAAGTGTAATGAGGTTCATATTAAACATGCAAGTGTGTTAATATTCTGATTTATTATAGTATTTGATATTGCTTTTTCAAAAATTGTGCATGACATTTTTATGGCTGAGGGCTACCACTCAACAGGATATTCTGATAAGAAGGAAATGGAGCTGTTGGACCAAGTCCAGAGTAGGGTCACAAAGTTGATAAGGGGACAAGAGCATCTCTCCTATGAAGACAGGTTGAGAAAATTGGGGCTGTTCAGCCTGAAGAAGATTTCATCGCAGCCTTCCAGTATCTGAAAGGAGCCTACAAGGAAGACAGAGAGGGACTCTTTGTCAGGAACTGTACTGATAGGACAAGGAATAATGGATTGAAATTGAATGGGTTCAGACTGAAATAGAGGAAAGAAGAAATTATTTGCTCTAAGTGTGGTGAGGCACTGGAACAGGTTACCCAAAGCAGCTCTTGGGTGGAGATAAAGCTAGGTTAGTAAATTAAGAAATAAAAAAGGGTAGATGATGGAAAAATGATCACTCACCACCTCCTGACAGCACAGCAATGTCCAGTTGGCCTCACAGTGACATCTGGTTTTGCCAAACCCTCATCCCTCCACTCTCTATCCCAATTTTATTGCTGCACATGGAACTATAATGGCTTGGGTTTTCCCTTTGGTCTGCTGGGCTCTGCAAACTTGGCGGTGTCCCCTGTCAGACTCTTGTTCACCCGCAGTCTGCTCACCAGTGCAAAAAGGCCTTGAGGTTCTTAATCTGCCCTCCCAATTCTCTCCCAAACCAGGCTGTGTGGAGCTTGGCTGCCAGCCTGGGGCAGCCACCACTCAACACACCAGAGACTACAGCACTGGCATTGACAGCAGACGCCTGACAAGCAACTGAGAGAGAGACTTGTACAGTGAAAACATGCTCAGATTTCACTCCCAACAGTCCACTGCTTCAGCAACAGCCTCTGAACATTTGACACTTAAAACCCCTGGAGTCTATGGCAAGAGGTTCCAGAAAGGCTGCAAATGTCAGGTACTCTTACCAAGAAAGGCAAAAACATATACTTCCACGAGGGCAGGAGAACAAGGCAAATTAAGGTTTCTAGACAAATATGAGCTAAATCCTCTAACTTATGCTATGCAATGTGGCTTTTTTTCATCATTTCAAAATGATGCTGCTGAATGAAGAATGTTTCCCACCAGGCTGAACTGTCAGCTGATCTTCAGACCAGAATCCAGGCATGGAGGGGGGAGCACAGAGCGTTAAACGCCAAACACCTCACAATTCTCTGTTTCCACGGCTTTAATTCTGTCAAAATGGATGCGGTTTTCACAGAGCTGCTGGAATTCACCCATAACTCTTCATAAGCATTTCAAGTGCGCAAAAGGCAGCAGACACAGTAAGCTTAATTCTGCCATTTTCCTTCTGCTCTTTCTCCCATCTCATTCTGTTAAATAGCGTTGAGTAGTTTACTTACAGCCATCTGAGAAATACAAACTTCAACTGCTCATGAAATGTTAACTCAGACTCCCAAGGAAATTTAAACATTCTATCCCTTCTGTCAGACCATAAAAAGAAGAAGGACACCTTATTATAAAGATGTGTGCCAGCCTGGTGTGATTAACAGTTCATCTGTATGTCCAAGACAGCTGCAGCACAATTCATGAACAAGGTTAAAATGCAGGCATCGACTCTCATGCTATTTGGCCTGTGCAGGGCATGGTCTCCAAAAAAAGTTTCAAATGAACAGAAGGGCAAGATATCTCTTGGCACAAATAATTTTGAAGCTGTATTTATAGTACTTGTGCAAAGAAAAGGCAAATGATTCAGCATTTTATTTGGAACAAAGATCTGATATATAAAGCAACTGAATTGATATCATGCATTAACTGTATTGTATACCTTTTGTTTAGTATTAAGTTGCAAATTTTGGTATACTCAAGTTGTTACCCCCCAGGTCTGTGGCCACTTAACTGCTAAGTAATATTTTCAAGACAATAGGTTAAATTATCTTATATTTAAGAAATTTCTGTACAAAACCCCCACAATTCTGTAAATTCGTTTCCACTGTGTTATAACAATTTTGAAAATTCAACTGTAACGAGGAATTCCTGTGAGAACAAGTGGCTTAACTGAATTTTAATCACAATAACTTATATACCCCATTTCTGTATTCATCACTGAAAGCAGTACAGGTGAAATTCTGTTTTACTCATTCCCATGTAGGAGGAATAATTCCACAGAAACAATAGAAAATTACTTGGGGGGAAAAAATGAAGACCAAATAGATTTATTCTCAGAGAAACAAACAAACAAAATAAAAGGCTGTCTTAGCTGGAATGAAAAAATCCACTTTATAAAACAGTATTTTATATAGGTAGAGTACCATAGTTCACTGGCTGCATAGTAAGTATTGTGGTACTTTGTAACAGAAACTTGATGATCTATTGACTGTGCAGTTTGAAAATAAAAACAATAAATATTTCAGCTACTTTTTGATCACATAGATATGGGCAGAGACCAATTCATGTAAGCGTGTTTAAGTTTTCTGTTTGGACTTTGCACAGTAAACATTCACAATATTAAAAGGAAAACTGCTACAAAAATATTCATATTATCACAATCCGAGAATGGTAAAAACTACAAAGAAAAAAGGAAATTTAAACCAAATTGCTAATGATTAAAGGTTGGTCCTTATTATTGAAATAAGGGATACTAATAACCCCAGGAATACTGAAACATTAGTCTTACAACTGCAGACAGTAACTGCATGGAATGGATGTTATGCAAATCATTTAATGTAATGAGAGCTTTACAAAAGGAAACAGCAGCCCCACGTATCTTGGGGGTAAATATGAACATGAAGTGTACGAAACAGTAATACTATGTGTATGTCAACAGTTACTCAAAATTAGCATGACTTTTACATACTGTTAGGGCTTACAAAATATTATTCATGGTAATTAAATATAAAAAACAAACAAACAAAACCCAGCTGCCTGCCTAACAGATTAATAGATACAAGATACTCAGGTCTGCAGCACTTAGCTGAACACAGAAAATGATCTTACACGTATACATCTCATTAAGATCTGTGAACAATTTGTAGTTCTCTATAGAAAAATGGATCCAAAACAGCAGTTTGGCAGAAAGTGAGGACAGGTACATAAAAGAGAACTTAAGCAACACAGAAGACTTTAAGACTCTTGAGGCAATTCATAAGGTTGCTTCAAGATGGAGATTTATTGCCCATTTATAACAAACAAGTGGTGATTTCAAGACAAATATAATAATTAAACATACAAGCTCTGGAATTGTACAAAGATACTCATTTCTTGTGGTTGATGTCCATCATTAAAAACAGTGCTAGCTTAAGGGACCTTTGCAAAGATGCAGTGTAATCTCCTGCAGTTACAAGGGCACATGACTGAACAGGTAGGACACAGATTCACCATTGTGTGTTCTTCGAATTGCCTCTGCCAGGATCATGGAAATGTCTATAAACTGAAAGAAAAATCAATAAGAAAAATTTTATGGGATGCCAAGAACAATAAAACTATGCAGTTTATAAACACAGACAAACATTCAATCTATCATTGTGCTCTCTTATTCCTAGGAAGAATTATAACATTAAAACTTTAGGTATTGAACATATACATAATAACTGCACAGATACAAAGTAGAACTCAAAAACTGAGTAAGAAAGCACTGACTAAGATTGCTGCACAGTAATACCATTAAGACTTCTGATAAAAGGCATGTTGTGAAAAACCCCCACTATTCTTGCCATCAGATGGCAGTGTCTGCTTGACACAAATACAGTTTAGAGGAAGTACACCTTTTAAGTGCTTGTCTTGTTTCAATAAAAACCAAATAAATGTTAGGCTTTTAAAAAAATCCAATAATGCATTAAAACCCCCAATCTTTTACGCTTTTCTCCACTCTATACTAAAGAAAACCTCCAATGAAAGACATGACTTCCCAGAACAATTCCATTAGTGTTTTTCAAGAAAAAAGTCTAAGATTTCTGTGGCCTCCACAATAACATAAGTTCCTGCATGAAATTATTGTATGATTAATATTGTTAAAAAGAAACCCCACCAAAATCCAGTCAATTTTACATTTGCCACTCTTTCACAAGCAAGCATACTCAAGGTGCGGCAAATATCAAATATTTTGCAATGCTCTATTGTACTACCTGAATCCCCTTAAAACAGTTCTTTGGCATGTTTTAGCAAAACTTTTTGCAAAACATGTATTTTAGAATATTAATTTCCTCTCAAGGCACAAATTCTAGCACCAGTGAACAGTAAAACACAAAACCAGAGTTTAAAGAAATTAAACAAAAATACCACTGTACCTGTATTTTTGGGCAGTGTTTCATTTTTTCCTCTTGGGGGATCGTATTGGTTACCACAACAGCCTCAAACGAAGCATTATTAATCCGAGAGAGGGCAGGACCAGAAAAGATGCCATGAGTGAGAATGGCATAAACTTTAGTAGCTCCAGCAGACACCAACCTGTAGAACACACAAGAAAAGTATGACGTGATGCATGTTTACATACATAGCTAAAGCCAGATACAAATCTCTAAAATACATTTTACTCACAAATTCCTACACATAAAATACCTACAAAATAATTCAGACATTTGTATAATCTGAAAAAGTTTAGAACTGTCTCAAAAAAACCCAAAAACAACCCCATACACTGATAATTAAATAAAAGAGTTCTTATTTGCAGCAGCGATACTAATTTAAATTGCTGCATTTTGACCCTATCAGCACAACACACAACTGAACTCCAGCACAAGTTTTCTATCTTAAAATCAAATAGGTTGGATGGCAGCATTCACAACCCTATTGTGTCTCCATTATCGTCCACCTTTATTTTCATCTGCAATTCAAAGAGTTCTGCTTGGAAGGAGTTTCTGAGGAAGAACAAATGTTAATGATTAAAAGCCTAGCTTGCTGCAAGGTTGAGAGAAGACATGCTGCTGATGCAAGCACTCAGCAAACTGGTGCAGCAGAGGAGGAAGAAAAAAGAAAGTATAATTCACAAGGTGTTCTAGTTCTTTGATTAAGTCAAAATATCTTCAATTTGGTTTTTTACTGGCCTTGATGCCTCTAAATGCTCAGCTATGTCCTAACTGATTTTCTAGCCTTGCAAACAGAGACCCTGAAGAATGGCATGTTATTGGATCCTCACAAAGGCACAGGAGGAAGCATAAGAGAGAGAAAAAACCCCACAGAAACATCATCTCATTTTGAATGACTAAAAAAATCAAAGTTTTCTGCTCATTCTCAGCAATACATTTCGTAGCTGCAAGGAGGTAAGTAACCTCCAAGGAAGATGCAGCTTGACAGAGTGGGTACCAAGGGCTTAAGTTTGTACTTAAGTTGATCTGCTGTATCTGAAAATACATTTCTTAGTTCATCTGCTTGATATGCATCTAGGTTGCTAAGATAAAAGGAGTTCTAAGAAGTATTTTGGTGATCAAGTCTGATTAAACACAAAGTACATCCCACCTAGATTTGACTTTACTGAAAAGCACTACTTTATGCTAACAATATGATATAAGGCAGCATCACTCAAGCAAATGCATCTTTCTTAGTGAACGCTGTGGATACTTTGAAGGTGTTTGATGGTTTTAAAGTTTGGTCTCTAGAAATCTACTGCAGGTAAATAAAGAATGTTTCTTTCATAACAGGAAAAAAATAACGGTCTTCTTTTTGACAGGAATTAACTTCCTCTAAGCACAGGAGTATAAAAAAAAATATTGTTGGCTAGGCAGTTTGTGATTTTGACTGTAAAGTGCATTAGACAGCCCAAATCTCTTTCAAGTTATATGACATTTTATTTATTCTGTGCTCTTCCTAAAAACAAATAATGTATTTCTGTAAATATTTTCTCAATTCCATGTTTTAAAGAAGGACACAGTTTGATCACAGAACTGTGACCTATAGACTCAAGGATCAGAATGACTTCATGCTACAGATGTCAGGCGGGGTTATAGGCATGCAGGAAGACTGCATTCATCAGCTGTCTCCAGGTTGCAGTAGAGTGAGAACAGTGAGCCAGTTCACAATAATACTTACTTCTCTGCCGCATGACATATTGTGCCACATGTGTCAGCCATATCATCAACAAGAATTGCTACTCTATCTTTCACGTCACCAACCAAGACCATTCTGTCCACTTCATTTGCCTTCTTTCTTTCCTTATGAATGAGAGCAAATTCCACATTCAGTCTATCAGCAATTGAAGTAACCCTGAGTTATGGGAAGAAATACACCATATTTAGAGAACCATTTTAAAAGAAAGAACAGTCATACATATGAATTTGTCACAGTACACAGTTTTTGTTCCTGGCTTTCAAATTACCACAGTAAAAACTTTTGCAAGGAATGAGACAGGCAGAAATAATCTTAATTCATTGCTAATAAATACAACTAGAGTGTCTTAAGCTATACTCCAAAAATTGATTTTTTTAATTGAATTGATTTTGGTTTTCTGTCATTAAGTGCCTGGCTTTGAAAACATTTCAGCTTTTCACAAGCTTTTTTTAAGCTGCTGCAATACAAGTCACACTAGGTAATTTAAAGCAGAGGAAATTCTAAGTCAATTCTAAGCCTACTGGAGCATGCACTTTAATATTCTAACTGAAAAATACCATTGCAGGATGTGAAACCAAACCAAAGGGGAAACACCAAAACAGGTAACAGAGATTAATAATTCTTTTCACAGTACTTGAATAGTAATCAAGTAGCTTACTTCATTAATAATTCCCTCAGTGTACATCTGCTTGACAAAGATCTTTTAAAACTATTCAGGGTGACCTCTGCTGGCCAGACAAACTTCCAATAATAAATTTAACTTGTTATAGACTTCTGATTGCTTTCTTCAGTTTAATATAACAGAGCTGTTAGGTATCAAGACACAGGAATAAACAATTCCATGCTGTCTTTTTAAATGCTAGTGCAACCTTGTAACCTGTATTTTTAGAATATATTTAGAATGTTGTTAACAAGCTTCTTAACATGCATGGTTAATAGAGAATACAGTTTTGTTTCTTTGCCACTTAAATATGAAGGAGTTGTTACAGTATTTCAACAACTGCATAATAAACAAAAAATCCAGAAGTTTTGAAATTTTTTGTGAACAGTGTGATTTAATATCAAGTCTCAATACCTCAGAGCCTCAATAGAATTTGCATGCCTTATTTCAGTCACAACATTTAATAAGCTGGGGAACAAACAAACAAGTGGTAACAAACAAAAAGAATCCTGGTATTTTAAATAAGTGCAAGAACATGGATTTTTTTTAATTAAACCTTACTTATTTAAATTTTGAGCCAACTCACGTTCAATTTTCACATTCTATTCACTTTCCATTAAGTATTACTTTGTAGTTCTACATATTTTAAATGGAAAGGCCAAACCATATTCTTCACATTACATTGCAGGAGGTGAAGGAGAAGCTGCGACTTTATTGAAAGCAACATCTGCCCTACTTAACCAGCAACTGTTTGGTTGCATTACAACAAAGATACTAAAGATAGACTGCAACTATCTATATTAAATACAGTGAAAGTGATCTTCAAAAAATAAACTTTTATGATTAACTTAATCATAAATACTGGGCAGGGGAAAAAATGCTGTCTTGTGACTTGAATTCTAAGCAAAGGTTGTATTTTGTTTAAAAACAAAATCAAACAAAAACAATTTCAAACAAAAAACAACTGTGAAAATAAGAGTATCCAGACAGGAATGAACAAAGAAATTGAATCGACTGAGTCATCTGACCTTTAGAATGCTTTCTATAGTTTATATTCTTTACATCCTTGATTAATCTAAAAACGAACAACTATGAAGTTGTAATCAGTCTTATTTCCCTACTAATCATTACAACATGAACACTCACAAAAGACCCAAAGATTTCAATTAAAAGAAAATTATGACAATCTTTCACATTTCCCCCCATACTACATTTCAGAAATATAAATTGCTATGGACTTACAGGATTATTATTTCATTTTTCTTTATTCCCTTTGCAGCAGCAGCACAACCAATAAAACTTGAGAATAAGCACCTTGCCTCAATGGCATGCTTTATCACCTCACCAGCCAGTGTGCTACTGAGCTTTTGCATTGGTTTACACTCAATCGATACCAAATAAAAGATAGTCTGCTAAGTGAGTAACACATGCTGCGAATGAAGAAACGAACTAAGCTTTCTATTTTTTCCTTTTGCCACTTCACTCCCTTTTTTCAGTATTTATAATGCAAAACTCAGGGTCAATAGGTTTACAGCTCGAATGCAATAACATAAAGAAAAAGGAAATACGAGTCAAGCAAGCTCTTACCTAAATGCCAGCAGGTAGAGTGGGAATAGGCCATATGTTTTGACAGAGAATGGAAGCTTAGGCAATTCCAGAGTGAAGCAGGAAGAGGTGCAGCAACTGGACTAAAGAAGCAAGCAGCGGGAAAAATCTTTCCCCTCCTGGGGAGGGATTCAGCTAATGAGGCCACATCCAGGGAGAGAGAAAAATATTTTCTTTAGAGTATAGAAAGGTCCTGAATGTTTTCAAGCACGAACAACATTGGAAGGACTATTGTTCTGTTTTTACAATGTAGTTGGATTCATCAGTGATGTACCCTATATCTTGCACATTTCATAGAGGAAGATAGAAGACTAGACAAACTAGTTCATTAACCACTAACTATATGTAAAACTAATAGTTTTAAGCTTGTATGTACCTTTTTGCACCACCTGCATCAGGTGAGACTATGATACAATTTCTCCACTCAGGAATGTTCTCTTTAATCCACTGCAGCACAGCAGGTTCTGCATACAGGTTATCTACTGGAATGTCAAAGAAACCCTAGTCCAAAAAAGAAAGAATTTCATGAATATATGTTTGTATCTTACCCGAAACAAAGACACAGGGAAAGAATCAAGCCTTTGCCTTTCTGAATGGTAGAACCTGAATTAGTATTTTACACTGACCTAATTCTGCCCTCTGATACTACTGTCAAATGCTGCTCAAGTCAAATACTAAGGTCTCTAAAAATCTCACTCAAGAGTAATGAATCAGAAAACAGATGTTCTCAATTGACATAAAAAAATCAGAAAAGGTGATCACCTTCAGGCACTCAAGTAAATTTATGCTAGTGAAAAGCTCTCAAAAAATCCAGTGAGTAATACATAACTTTCATAAATTTCAACTGCTTGACATGAACAGCAGTATTTCAACACAGGGAAGACTCCAGCTAGTATTACTTGAGCAGTAGAATCTTTGTTTTTGTCCGAATTGTAAAGATAAGAAACCTATGTTAAACCACAAATGAAACTACTTCTAATTTGAGTGACAGCCATTTAGCATAAGAAGAAATTCTGATTAAACAGAATGCCAGACCTGGAAGATAAGATATTTTCTAGAAAAAATAAGGTATCTTAAAACAAGGTACACATGAGAATGACAAATGATGTCTGCTCTACTACTGAGCAAAAAGTTTTGTGATTTGCTGGATTCAGCAGTAAACCAGGTAAGTGTTGCCAACCTTCATCTCCACTTCTTTTAAGAGAATACTGTACCCTTTGTTGTAACAACAAAACTCTACCTAGGGCAACACTATAATTCTGACAAGGCTCAGATTAAGAGAACTTGCTGCAAGCCAGTATATTTTATGTTCTGGAAGCCCTTACATTAGGCTTGGCAAATTTTACTGAAGACTCCAATGCACAAATATTTGAAATGCCTGCAAAATTGCCCAATAAAATCAAGACTGGTATCTTTCTAAAAGGGAATTTAATTAGAAACAGGTAGTGAGACTTTCTCTGAACCCTGGGAGTCCTGTACATAGCCTATCAAAACAATGAGAAAAGGCAGAGAATTACTACTAGCCTTTCCCATCAGTTCAGTAGAGCTCCTAGGCACAACTAGTAAGAACCAATAGTTACCTGGATCTGAGAAGCGTGCAAGTCCATGGTGATGATGTGGTCAGCCCCTGCAACTGACAACATGTTGGCAACAAGTTTTGCAGAGATTGGTGCACGACTCTGAGGAATAAAGCACAAATGTTTTAATTTTAACAATATTTTGACTAGATGCAAGAAGTAGTTTAGTTACTTTTATTGGGTTTTTTTCTTTAGAATATTTGGAATCTAAATACGAAAAGTTCCAGAACTTTTGCCAAACTATCCTGTCAATAGCTTGTCTTGCTACTAGGGTTTTGAAACTCAGCAAAGTATTCAGGTATATCTAAATCAGTTTGCACAGTCTGCCTAATAATGCTTTGTATTAAAAAGATATAAAATTGGGGATATAGTTTTCCAGTTCTGCTTACAACTTTCAAATATCTTTCCTATAGCAGAAGACAATCTATTTCTCTAATTCACTACCCTACACAGACATCCAACTCTAAAGCAACTACCCTGTTCTAAAAGCACTGCAAAACCCATAGATCAAAGGTAAAGTGAACCCAACTTTTGAGAACGCTGCTTTAAAACAATGTTATCAAGCATTTCTTCATGACACAATAAAGTCTATAGCAGATCCTATCGGTAAGGGTCTTCTACCCTAGCCTATTTATTTATTCATTCTTTTTTTGTTAATTAATGTTTAATTCTTGGATGCAATTAGGAGTTTAGAATTCCCAAAAGGGGCAGGAGGAATGAAAAAAAAAAACCTAAAAAGTGAAGAAGAATAAAAGAAGAATAAAAATCTTATTAACAAGTTAATGCCAATGTCAAAAGCTCTTTAAAAGTGTGTCAAACATAGAGCAAAGTTAAAAAAAAAAAAAAAAAAAGATAGAAACTATGACTGGAAGATACCCCACTTTTGATTTTGGAGCAACTTCAAAATTTTATCAGATTTTTTTTAAGCTCTGTAAAAAGCAATGCTGCCCTGGACAACTTTCTCTAACAGAAATACTAAACAAAACCTGCTGCTTTCTTTTTGTCAATCTTTAAATAGGGCTAATAGCTGGCAATAACATTAGCATGAAGGCAGAACTGCCATTCAGTCTCTGTCTCACTGGCAGACTGGTTTTTGCTGGCACAGTATTGTCTCCTGTGAACTCTCTTTATCAAACATTTAGCCTCCTAGGGACCTCCTCTCCATCCACACGCCACAAACAATTACAGAGTATCTCTGCTTTACTTCCATTGATGCTCAAGGGCATAACTGACAATGACCTGAATCACTTCCAATTTAACTTAGATTCCTTTCCGTCTGTGTCCTGTCAAGGAACCAATATTTTCCTTAAAACTTCTGCTAATTTAGGTGGAAACTTGTAATTTCTGTTTTAACATACAGATTGACAACATACTTCCAGAACAGAAACTGAGATACTGTAGCCTTTCTCATGGCTAGATACAGCATATCACCATCATTACTGAAATTCTTCATTTTGAAAACCATGCCTTTTGGGCTCTGTGTTTCACAGAACATCACCACCATTTGGTCTGTGTAAGATACACAGAAGGCAGACGCAACAGCTAGCACTTCCCTAGATCTCTGCAATTCAGATGCAGAAGATGCAGATTCCATAAGAATTTATCATTAGTACTTCAGCACAGTTGATTTTCCACTTACTGAGGACTGTGGTGCTCTTAATTTAAGTTCAGTTCTGTAAGGTCAAAGTTCTCCAAGGCTTTCTGGATATTTCTATTATTAGTAGCAAACATTTTGTTTGTGCCATTTGAATTCCTGATCATAGCATCTGACATTTTTAAGCTGGACTTCAAAATATTCCCAAGTCTCTGGCAACATCTAACAAAAGAAAGACTTAGTATCTACTCTTTTTATTCTATTGCAGTGTTCTCTTACTAGCTCTTAGCAAAGATTTGTTTTAAAGCTTCCACTTAGGTGGACTAACAGGTGATGCTGAAATTAGAAGTTTGCTCCCCTGCTTGTCCCATCCCTGCTTTCCAGGCTAGACACTTCCACCACTTCCCTTGTGCTGCAGACCAGGACTTGTCTAAACCAACAGCAGCCATGTGAGTTAGCTGCTCAAGTGGAAGGGAAGGGAAAAGAAGATGACAAACCAGGACCACCCCCACTGGTAGAAACAAGTAACTAGTTCAGGCTAGCAGCTAAAGGCAAATTACATTCTTCTCAGAGTGTGGTTTGCCATTTTCACTCCATCCAGCACACTGAATTTTGCCTTTGTTTTTTTTCATTTTGTTCAATGTGAATACCATTCTGTTTTTCTCATGTATCAGTACCATGAGTATCGCTATCACAAAGAAGACCCAAACAAAATACTTTCCTGCATCACATACTAATGTATACATTACCAGTTGGTACTTCTTTCAGCTGCTGGCCTTGCAGGCTGCCTTCCCAGAAGGAAGAACTTGAAGTTTTACCACTAGGTAACTTGTTTTAGCAGATATGCACACATCACAGATTGCCTACGTGTTGGTGGACAGAGGGTCTTGTAAGGAAAGTTAGCCAGACACCAATATCTGTTTTCTCAAGAATGGGCTAATAGGACATTAAGACAAAAGAAGTTTGTAGCTGACAGCTTCCTTTACCCAAAATTGTGTATTAAAAGAAAACCCGCATGACACATTCAAAAGGATTTAATATTTGCATTAATATTAATTTAATATTGCTTGCATAGAACGTAAGTTTTGTGCTACAGTATGATCCAAATTGAAGATTATTTTAAAATCAAAGTATATTCATGAGAACTTCAGATAACCTGGCCTCATTATTCAGAAACTTGGATGACAAAGATGAGAAGTCATGATTTTCTTTATATTGCAGTTTGTAAGGTTTGCTTCTGATGAGAGAGGTAAGAACAGAGGTTCACAGTATTCATTGTTCCATTCTTTGATACAATTTTAGATTGGTTGCAGAATTATTAGTGTGAAATGCAGCATTAAATTAGGTACAGAAAGTAAATTGTAGAAAAATCACTTGAATTACCAGGAGCAAGGGGAATCCACAAAGCTAATGTAAACAACCTAACAAGAGTAACTGTGCAATGGACACATAGCTGAAAGTAAAAGTTGTCCACCAAGATCAAAGCTCTGTTGCCTTCAAGCATCTTATTACATTGTCTTGCTCAATATTCATCACATGCATGCTGAACAAAAAAAAAAAACAAAACAAAACAAAAAAAAAGATTTATAACTGGAACTTTCACTTTCAAGAAAGCCAGTTGTGAAGTGTATGGATACTGAATGTTCACTAATGTATTACCCAAATTTATCATTTCAAAAATGAGATATGCTTTGAAGCTTCAGAAGTTGACAGCCATTATCTTGAATGTCTTGAATGTCCAAATAAATTTTTAACCAGAATCTAGGAGTTTTTTTAAAGCAAATTATTCTAAAGGATTACTGTCATGGCCTAGGTGAAACACAACTGAAATCAAGAAGTGAAACTGGAAATGTTCCTAGTTATACATAATATAACCCAGTAAGTTTCACCCTTTAAGGCCTCATTAATGGAAAATGCATAGTGTTAGATTTAAAAAAAAAAAAAAAAAAAAGATACCTACCCAACGCTCCACGGACCCCTTCTACAAATCAAAAAAACAAAGTTACATGAGTGGTAGAACACCAAACTCACCTGTCACTGTACTTCTAACTTATTTCAAAGGCATCTCTGCAGTATCCTACAGAAATGTGTCCTGCCCACAGCTTGGAAGGTTAGCATAATTACAGGATATATAAATGCAGTTATGGTCAAAGCACAGACACACCTGAGCTAATTTTAAGTTAGCTAGCTCGTGCATCAGAAATATTCTGGTTTAGGGCAGCACGTGATTGAGTCTAAATTAATTTGCCAACTTCCCTATGATTCTCTGTAAGCCTTTTTTTTTAACTTCTATTTCCCATTTAAAGCTAGTCCAGGTTTAGTGCTAAAATTTCCCAAGTAGATTACAAAGGCCTTGCTCAGAATAAGATTTGTACTGCTAAGCCCTTTCCTTACATAAACAAGTCAAGAGCACTTTTATTGTTCTCAGCAATCATAACTACAAAGAGGTATGAAGAATACATGGTTATTTTAAGCAGAAAGGACTCAGTCTATTTAGTTCTTAATGAATTAAAGTCAATAACTTAAATTCAAACCAGAAAATAGCATTGCACTAGTGAAGATTATACTGCTTCAGTGCATAGTCAAGCAAACTACAGCAATATCTTTCACCATAGAAGAAAATCTGTGTACAATCATAGGAAGAAAATGGCTGGCACTTTACTGACACTTCAGGCAGCATACAAAGCTTGTGCACTCAACATGGGTCAAAGAACAAGTCATGTGATGCAATCCAACACTAGGAGGAAAGATGTCCCTGTCAATAAGCTGCCCCATGTCGACAACTATATTATAGCTTATTTTGCAACACGGTGGTCAACTACCAAGGTTAATTTCCAAAGATGGCAAACATTTTCTCAACTGCAAAACAGAGGGGAGAAAAAAAACCCAACATAAACAAAAAAAACGCATTTTGTCTAAAATTGTGGAATTAGAGACACAGAACAGCCTGGAAAAAAAACTCTAAATCCCTGTTAATCAAAATCATTTTCCTAGGCTATCTATCTTCACATGCCATTTCCAAAATACAAAATGTTCCTTGATGGCATGCTGTGCCACCACACTGGGGGTTTAAGTGTCTCTTGGAAGTCTGCCAGATGGATTTTGACTACCCTTGACAAGACATAATCTAGATGCACAGAAAATTTGGAATATACTCATCCTTTTCCTACACCAAGAACTTGAAGGATGGTCCAGCAGAATCTTCCCATACGAATTGGTAAAATCAAAACATAGTGAGATGCTTTCCTTCCTTTTCAACAAAATGTTTTTTGGTTCACTTTCAAGGTCTTTTGATATAAAGAAGTATTTCACCTCTCCGGATCAAGGGAAAGCATTGTTCAATACAAAACACAGCAAAAATGAAGCACCAAAACATGCAGGTAAAGAACAGGGTATTATTATTTAACTCATGAATTCCATTTTTGGAAGAATAACAAGTGGATCTTGGTAATATTAGTATGGTGTTACAGAGCCTGCACTTAAAGAAAGAGTATACTAGAAAAAACCTCTTGTATTTAGTTTTGTTCTTAGACATCACAGACATCACATTACATGCTTTATAATAACTGCTGTTATTTTTAGCTTCTGCATTACTTCTCAGACTGTTATTTTTTTAATAAAAGAATATAAAGAACAACAGAATGCTTTCAGGATGGGCTTGATGCCCAAAGTGAAAGGGAGGGGGCAGTGCATTTATGGGAAGGACAGGAGAGCGGCAAATTTTCCCAAAAATATAATCACTGCAATCCAATCTTTAAAGCCAAAATCACATTTCTTATTACTTCTTTTCAAATGAGTTTAGGTCAAAGTAACATTCACATAACCAATCAGAGAGAGAAAAGTCTAGTTATCTACTTTTCAAAATCAGTCTTACTTGCCATAGAGAGTTTGTTACTGTGTTACCAACTTGGCTGAACTGATATATTTATCAGTTATGACAAATCAAATTCAGGAAAAGGGCACTAAATCAGAAGAGTATTTATGGGATTTCCACACAATTTTTGGTCTGCATATATCAAAGTAATTGTTATAAATATAAAAACTTCTTTTTAATCTGTCTGGCAGCAAAAAATAATGTTTTTATTAATTACTGTTATGAACTGCAGATTTTATCAGTTCCTTCCATTTCACTCTGTTTAACCATATAGGCTAAAACCTACCTGCATAACTGTTACAGCAGTTCAAATTTAGGATTTAATTCCATGCAATTAAATTGCTAAAAAGGGTGTATTCTCTTCATATATAGAGATGGAAAAAAAACCCAAACAAACCAACTCCAAAATTTTGAAAATGTAGGCAAAACCAATCCCATAAGGTGAGGTTTGCTAGCAAAGTACTCTGCAATATACCACACACATATAATGTACCTATTTTTGCAAACTGAAGGCATGTCAATTAGCAAAACACAAGCAAATAAAAATTGTCTCACTTCATTCACTTATAAATAAATTAATTGAACATTTTACCAAAAAAAAAAAAAAAAAGAGATGGAGGGGAGGGGGATCAAATCTTTCAAATCACTTAAATATTTATGAAAATTATTAATCTCCAAAAATTCCAAGTGAGCAAGCTGAACAAAAGCCTTCCAAAATGACACAGTTCTTACCTACCTTGTCTTTCTTATCTTGCCTGGCATATGGAAAACATGGAATTACAGCAGTCACTCTGGAGGATGATGCAATCTTGCAAGCATTGATCATGATGAGTAGTTCCATTAAGTTGTCATTTATTTCTCCACAGCCACTCTGGATAATATATACATCTTCCCCTCTCACACTTTCACCAATCTCTACACTGAAAGAGCAGGAGATGACCATTTACCATTTCAACACTTGAGTTACTTAAAAAGCACTACTAAAGAATAAAGAAAACAAAACAAAAAAATCCCCCAAAAAACAGTTTTGTTTTAACAAACTTCCATAGGTTTTCCATAAACTCTCCATTTAGATTAGGATTTTTATTTTTTTAACAGCGATTTGGATAACTGCCTCCTTGTAACAAAGACTATTTCAAGACAAGCCAGTCTAAAATTTACTTTAGTCTAAATATCTTCTTCATAAGGTGAGCACTAACCAACACATAATTACAGCTATAACAGTGATGCAGCTCACATTGTTATTAAATTTGTTACTGCTTTTTTTTAGTCTATATGTTCTGTGTCCTTGCCATCTCCCAGGTAGATGGCCATTTAAAGAATAACCTAGATGATAAGTACAGAAATAGCATATTCAACTTCAGGCATTAAGTACTTGCCTCAAAATACCTCCTTAAAAAACGCAATTATATTTCTATAATTATATTTCTATTAGTTATGATGTTACTATGTACAGGAAGCAGGTGTATTTTAGAAGCTGGATATATCAAACCACACTCCAAAACCAAACATCTCATTAAGATCTACACCATGATGTTCAAGTAGAGTATTTTTAAAAGAAGAAAACCTTAGAGGAAAGCTACAAGGGCTGCTCATCAACAGCTTACCATGGCTCAATTCTCATGTTGTGTCCGTTGCTCTATTCACTCTAACTGTACTTACTTGCTTTGGTTCTTTATGATAGTATCTAAAAGAAATTTTATTCTTCCACAGATTTCAAGGTAAATTTTGGGACCAGTCACTGCTCACACCACAAAATTCAAAAATTAAATAGAGCTTATAAATGAACAGGAAAAATAAAACTATTGAATGTATTCTTTCTCAATTCTAGATCCAAGCAAGAGAAACATACTGCTGAACCACATTCATTTTCACATCTGTTACTCCAAAACTTATGTATAATCTCAGCAGAATAATCTTCATTTTTCCCTAAATCCATGCACAACATACAAAAAACAGACTTCCTAAATACTGAGGTGATCAGACCTTTTAAACCCATGCTCTACTAAGTTAGTCCCAGTTATTAAATGCCAAAATATAGTGGGCCTTTATTCAAAAGGTAGCATCTTTACCCAAGGCACAAATGAGCAAAAGCTTCTAGCTGGAAACCTTTCTAATGGCCAAGATATAGGCAGAATAATTTCTCTGATCATAGAATCAAATGGGTTGGAAAAGACCTCCAAGACCATCAAGTCCAGTCCTTGATCCAACATGGTCATGGTTACTAGACCATGGCACTAAGTGCCACATCCAGTCTCATCTTAAAAACCTCCAGGGACAGAGAATCCACCACCTCCCTGGGCAGCCCATTCCAATGTCTGATTACTCTCTTTGTAAAAAGTTTCTTCCTAATATCCAACCTAAACCTCCCCTGGTAGAGTTTTAGCAGTTTTGTCCAACTGCTGGTTGCCTGGGAGAAGAGACCAACCCCTCCACCCCCCACCCCCCCACTCCGGCTACAACCTCCTTTCAGGTAGTTGTACAGAGTGATGAGGTCTCCCCTGAGCCTCCTCTTCTCCAGGCTGAACAACCCCAGCTCCCTCAGCCTCTCCTCATAGGACTTGTGCTTGAGTCCCTTCACCAGCCTTGTTGCTCTTCTCTGGACCCGCTCCAGCACCTCAATATCCTTCCTGAACTGAGGGGCCCAGAACTGGACACAGCACTCCAGGTGTGGCCTCACCAGCGCTGAGTACAGGGGCAGAATCACTTCCCTGGACCTGTTACCACACTGCTCCTGATCCAGGCCAGGATGAGTCCTTCAACGCTGAGGCTTGTGCTGGTCAAACCCAGTTCTAAAAATTTTTGTTTAGCAACTTTTTTAATGTAAAATTCATTAGTTTTCTGTAGAAAGGAGTTTACTGCTTTAAAGCATCTTAAGGATAAGCAAATTTATCAGCACCAAGATAGTTAAGTTCATGTTCTTAGCTCCCCTATTCGTCTCCTCTGCAGTCCCAAACAAGCTACAGTAAGATCCTGTCTTAATTTTTCTCTGTAATTTAATACATTTTTTTGCCCAAGAATACTACTAGCAGGATTTCTTATGATCCAAAAGAAAGCGAACCATCTAACACCAGGTCTCTGGAAGGACAGAGAGTTGGTCAGGGACAGAGTCATATGCAGATATGTCAGGAAACTTTTTGGAGGCTTTCATCATGGCACAAAGACACAATTTTCCAGATATAAAACTGTTACTTTCCTGTCCAACTTCTTGATCAATAAAATAGGGCCATTTAGAGAAAAGTATTTTGATCAAAATATTTTCTTAGCTTGTTTTCCTTTTCAGAGCTGAAAAAGTTTTGGTCAACATAACTTAAGTTCAGCAAGATACTAAGTATATTACATAATTGGAAAAAACTACCCAGGCTTAAGTAGAAGCCCTTCTGAACACAAATTCAGCTCTAAGTAAAGCATCTACCCACTAGATGAATGTAGCCTCAATCATTATTATAGCTTCATGGTTATTATGAGGGCTCTAAAAAATTGTAATTGCCACTCAACTCAGCACTTACACAGACCTGCTTTATAACAAGTGTTGTCACATACCACACCTTTGGAATACATCCAAAGAAAAATTATTTTAGTACCTAGGTAAAAAAAAAGAACAGCTAGTTTAACAGACATTACACATTAGGAAAAAAACCTGCCCGAATGATATGATCTTAATGTTCATTATATACTGAAAGAACACTGAGATATAGCATTCGGAGTTGGTTTGTTCCCTAAAAGCACACCACTAAAAAATAAGAGGTTTCAGAAGGTCAGGAAATATACTTTAAGATAAATATAGGTCTGGTTAATACAATGGACCTGAAGTGATGCTTTTTCCATTGTCATTAATTGTATTTTCTTTCCTTGTGCTAGCAGTAACTTTTTCCTCTTGTAAACAACTTAAAAAACAAACATGCTGCTTCTTTCTCTCTTGGTGCATTTGAAAAAAAATTCTTTATGCTTTTAAGACTAGAATGACATTCTTATTTGTCACACAGAAATGTGAGTAGTCACATTTCCCAATCAGCTAGAGAAAGCTGTGCAACCAAGCAGTATCTCTTATTACCTATCTTCGCAAAGATTGGTATTGAGAGGTATTGTGTAGGCTCAGCCAAGAGATACACACACAGCTGCCTATTTTACCTGCACCAAGCCAGAGAATAAAGGATAACCAGTCACTGTGTTGCAAGCATTCCATCAGATACAGCCTGTACTAACAACACTGGTGAGGTTTTGGGGGTGGGGTTTTTGTTGTTATTGTTTTGGTTTTGGGGGGAGAATGGCAGTTTGGGTTTGGTTGTTGCTTGTTTTCGGCTTTTTTTCGCCCCCTCCTTTTTTGTTTTCGTTTGGTTTGGGGTTTTTCTACGTATTCAGACAACCAACAAAAGGCTATAAACTACGGAATCAGATATGTGAAGTATTGTATCTCAACTATCTATTAGATAACACCAAGCTAACAGGAGTCAAACTGTGTTAGTTATCTTATTAACATTACTACTAAATTCCCCCATCTATATCATAACTGTTTGGAAGGTTATTTAAACAATTTCACATAGTGAGGACACAGAGGAAGGACATAAGAACAAACTCTTGCCTCAAGATTACAAGTTCTGTTTGGTTTATGCAATTTAATCAAATTCCGCTGTTTGGTAACAGTTTAAATAAATGTCTCATTCAAGAAGAGTCAACAGAACCTGTACATTAAAAGCCCTGACATCACACAGTTCTGTTTAAAAGTGAAATTTACAGAAATCAATAGCCCACAAAAGGAATTAACTTTGAGCGAGTTGCTTGGAATTCACAAGCACAAGGCTCTAGCTGGGAAAAATACACATATGACAGGACACGATGAAAACCAAGTTTAAGTGTTAGTATCTGCCTTCAACTTGCAACGGCTGATTTGAGAGTTCAGTTTAGTAAGCAGAATCTTAGATGAACTAATAACCATGAATTAAGGATAAGGCTCAGAATCTACTTAGGTTACAAACATATTTCAATGGCTGAAGCATCCATTAAGCAAAAATCAGGATCAGGAGTAACAGCAGACTGAGCTCCTGAGTTAGATTTACAGTATACTCCCATCAGAACTCAGTGATAGGAATTTTTAATTTGTACCTTCTAACCAAAAAGTAAACAGTTGTGAGGAATTAGGGAAATAAGTATGCAGAGTCAGATTAGGATGGTAAATAATATATCTGTAACTAGGATCTTGTTCAAATCATGCACTTACAAGGGCTCTACATACCTTTTTAAATAATTACAATAGATTAAGTTTCTAGCCATGCTTACAAGAAGTAAGATTTCCTAAGCAATTTAGGTGCCAATAAGGTAGATGTGTACTTCAGGCCCTTTTAATACCCAGAGAAGGAGCCAAAATTTAAGGTCTAGAGTCCTCATACAGTGTGCAAAAAGAATCAATATCTCAAAAGTGATCAAAAAACTGCACATGCTGAGCTTGCAATTCATTGAAACCCAGCCAATGGCAAGCGCTCAGCAGTGGGGTGTGTTTGACCTCCTACCTTTGGGAACACATTTTGCAGAGTAAAGTCTTTTAACACAAGGCTTCCAACTTAGTGGACAAATATTTCAACTGACACGATGTTACATAAAGTGGCTACTAGCAAAGCCCAAAACAACCAAGAAATAATAAAAATGCCAGAGTTGGTTTTAAGTTTACAGGGATCCCTTATCTCCTGGTCTCCCCTCAACTCTAGGCTCTTCCACCTTAAAAGCTCTAAGACAAACCCTCTGCTAAATCTTCATTAACAACTGCCTAATGGTGGGAACTGCTGTGGTAAGTATCAGAAGACAGGAAATATCTTCTTACTCCGGCACACAGCCTACCATTGCCAAGAGGAAAATACCCTTCCTTGAGCTAGCTCTGGGTTTAGCCACATGCAGTCCAAAAGGAACTCTCAGAAATTTGGAAACA